CATATGCGCAGCAGTGTTTGAGACACGAAAAAGGCACATATTCCCTTCCATTCAGTGGTGTTGATTTCTAAATCCAGCATTAGACTTGGGAAAGAAGAAAAACAAACTGAAGACAGCTCAAATGAAAGACAATGAGACAGGTATAGAATAACCAGCTTGGAAGGAAGGGCAGAAGTAACTGGATCAGGTTTTTATTTGAAAGCATAAAAATGGAGACCACTTTCCACTTTTACTGTCAGAAATTTGCACTGCATTTAGAATTTGAATTCCTGTGGCTTAAATTTCTCTCCGTTGCTTTTTGTTATGATTTTTTTTTTGCATTAAAAATGCCAAGCAGTACCTAATATTTTCTCACTGTAAGGGACCTATAAACTGTAATCACCTTTAAATTTTTTTAATAGACTAGTCTCTTTAACTCTTATTTTCAAACCATTGATTATCGTCATGCCTCCTATCCTATTTTCAACTTCTCTAAGTGTATAGTAGCATTATATGCAGAGTCACACTGGTTGGCTTAAAATACTAATTACTGAAGGCAAATTGCCTTTTAACTACTGTCAACTCCTTGTTTTGTAACATTCGGGAATGACATCAGCTGTCTTCACTTTTACATCCTCTGCCATTACACTTCTTGCTGTTTTTCACTGACCTCAACCCTTTACTCAAATGTTCCAGAACACTGTTTCTCTGCTTGTAGATTTACATCCTTCACTGTATTAAACTGCATTTTGTTTCAGTGGGTCAAATACATCCTCTGTTCCACTGATTTTAAGTGTGACCTTCAGCCTAACATAATAAACAGCACTTACTTGAGTTAAACAGAGCATAACTTTTAGGAAAATATCTTTAAATATCCTATTCAGTGCATATAAAATGTGCACTGAAGAATGAATAAACAGCTCACAGCCCAAGATAGAACTTGTTTTAGGGGACAATTACTCTTTGCTTTACTGACAAGTCTGAAAATTAATAGTTTCAACTTCCAGGGATCTTGTTACCACTGTGTGCTTGACTTGGATACTAATATCAGGGATATTATTACATTTATACATGCAGCTGAGCTCCAGCAAGTTTTTTCCCTAGGACTACATTCACAAAAACAGAAAACTGAGAAGGGATCATGGTAACAGTCAGTAAGTTGCTTTGTGTTAAAGGGTGGTCATTTTATTCTATATAAAGAGAAAATAAAACTATTAGGCACCACATATAGCCCATACTGAGCCCAGTATCCAAAAAACTTGTTGCCTTCCATCCCACACTCTACACAAGCTGTTATGGATATCTCTTTTGCATGAAGAAACCACCCCTAGCAGAAAATACTCTTGATTTTTATCTTGGAAGAACCAAAGTGACTGAGCCAACAGCACAGAAAACATGAACCCTTTGCAGATTAGGATGCATGCATAGGAAGGTTTAAAACAGTGTAAGAAACAGCTGACAAGCTAAAAGGAGATAGTGACAGTGCAGAACACCAAGTCAGTGGCAGAGAACATACATGCATTAAGGGAACACATTGGGAAAGAGCACTGGTAGTCAGTACAGTGATGCAGGCTTTTCATGCATTATTATGTGTGAAGAACAGGATGCAAGTTACATGTATCGTTATCACATGAGACTGTGATATGATGCAGCAAGTACGGAGAATATATTGTCTCTACTCCCTTGGTAAATATAAGGATGAGTTTTTGCCACTGTAGGTGGCAAACCTCATTATTAGACATCCAGTCTTGTATCCAAGTATATCAATCTTTAAAATATAAAAACATCCTTATGAGGCTCTAATTCCCACAAGAAAACCCAAGACCCTCCCTAGGTGATAAAGGAATTTAATTTTTTATAGAAAGTTAGCTCCTTAGCCCCAGAGCAAACCTTCCACTTCTGAATGCTTCCACAGCAATAGCCTAAGCACTGGGTACCACAGCAAAGGTCTCAAAGCTCAACATGAGCTGGCAGCATGTGCTTCCAGTCCAGAAGGCCAATATATCTTGGGCTGCATGCAAAGGAGTGCAACCAGCAGGTCGAGGGCAGGGACTGTACCCCTCTACTCTGCTCTGGTGAGACCCCACCTGCAGTGCTGCGTCCACATCTGGGGACCCAGCACAAGTGGGATGTGGACCTGCTCAAGTGAGTTCAGAGGAGGACACAAAGATGCTCAGAGGGCTGGAGCACTTCTATGGAGACAGGCTGAGAGAGTTGGGGTTGTTCAGCCTAAAGAAGGGTCAGGGGAGACTTTATAACAGTCTTCTGGTACCTAAAGAGTGCCTATGAGAAAGATGAAGAGTGACTTTTTACAAGTGCACGTAGTGATAGGCCAAGGGGGAATGCCTTTAAACTGACAGAAAGGAGATTTAAATTAGGTATTAGTATGAAGTTCTTCAATATGAGCGTGATGAGGCACTCACACATGTTGCCCAGAGAAGTAGTGGATGCCCCATCCCAGAAAGTGTTCAAGGCCAGGCTGGATGGGGATTGAAGCAACCTGATCTGGTGGAAGATACCCCTGCCCATGGCAGGGGGTTGGAAGCAGATGATCTTTAAGATCCCTTCTGACTCAAACCAGTCTATGAGTCTATGAATATATACCACAGTAAGATAGCAGGGAATTATCACACTCAAGGTAAGAGACATAACCAAGCAAAACAGCCAGGTTGTTCCTCTTAGGGGAATTTTTCTAGTCGATCTTCTTTGGAAGCACTTAATTTTATACACAAATCTAAGGAGAAATAGAGAAATATCTATATCCTCTCACTTCTCTTGGCAAGAAATAAAATGGTCGCACAATGGAACAGCACAGCAATACTTGACATTTCCCTAACAGTCGCCTTTGACCATGTGTCTCTCTGTACGCATTGTCCTCATGCATATTTAGGCCAAGGCAACAGCTTGAGGCTTGGCAGAAAGTGGTGTTATCTGCCTCAAATGCCGTGCACGCCCTGAGGCCTCTAAGTCTCCCAAAGCAGCCACACCACCAAAAGAGACAGGCCTTGGCAGAGCAGTTACAGAAGGGTTTCTCTCTTGGCCTCAGCTCAGTAGGAGAGCAGCACTCTGGTAGAAAGACAGCCCCTCTGCAGCTCCGGCCAGACCCTGTGGGGCCGCCTTCTCTATAGCCGTATCCCCGCTGTGCTCGGCGGACAGCGCCCGACGCTTTCCAGGCTCCCGCTGCAGTAGGTGGATCCCTGGGAGGCGCTAACCCCCTTCCCTCCTCCTTCCCTCCCTTCGCGGCTGAGGAGGCGCCTGAGCGCGGCGGCATCTCCCCTTGTCTCATTGGAGGGAGGAGCCGCCGCCGCTTGCGGGGAAGGTAAGCTACGGAGAGGGGGGGATCGCCGCCCCTGTCACTAAATCCCCCAGCCGTCCCCGTCCCCTTTCCTGCAGCACGGCCCCGCGCGCCCCCGGCCCAGGGGAGCGCAACCACTCCTGCGGCGACCCAGACCGTTACCCCGCGCTCCGGCGGACGTGCCCGCCCCGCTCCGCCACGCCCAGCGCTGCCACGTAGACTGTGGGTGTGGCGGGCCCGGGGCCTGTGGTGGTTTCAGCGCGAAGCTCGGCTCTGCGCGGGTGGTGGTTTTGCGGCCTCGGGCTGCCCTACAGACACCCGCTGCCGCGGCTGCGTGTGCGAAGGGAGCTGTGCTGAGGCCTGTTCTGTGTGCAGTGTGTTCCCCTGGGTCATGTTTACCAGGCACATGGTTTATAAATGGCTGGTAGCAGAGAACGAGTACTTGGGAAAACACGGGCTGTTAATGTCAGGGAGATGGGAGGGTTGCACTGTCTTCCCTTGTGGAGATGAGATTGACAGTAGTGGTGAACACGATTGTAGATGGTGCGCCATCAGGAACCATTTGGGCTGAACTAATGTTGAAGGATGTGGAAGCAGATGGGGGGTAAACGAAACACAGAGAATGATGACCCTGCTAAATGTGCAGCAGGAGAGCTAATCCTGTCCAATATGAGAAATAGATGTGACAGAGTTACAGGGGATGTGAATGATGTGATGGACTGTAAAGTAACAGGAAAAGATTGTATGGGTAAAAAAAGAGTCCAAGTATATCATTGCTTTGAGAAAAGAACACAAGAGTTGGATTCAGATGAGAATATTGATTACTGAGAGGAGTTATGTCACAAGTGGATTTCTTTCGTAGATACAGGTAACAGCATCATATGGTAAGGGCTTGTAGCAATCCAGTTGTTCTTACACAGTTGCTGTAAGCTTACCAAATAAGCATTGAATTGCTTTAGACTTACTTTAGACAGTAAGCAGTGTGAAAAATTCTGAGGTGACATGGTTTATTAGTCAGCTTGTGATCTTAAATCACATTTTTAATTAGATTAAATAAATAGGAATAAAATAGAGGGCTAAATGGAGACAGGATTGAGATGCTCAATTTTAGAAGGGCAAACTTTAAAAAATCAAGAGGATTAATTAGTGATGTGTGTTTGTGCAGGAATCCTGAGGGCCCTAAAAGGGAAGAAGGAATGGAATTGTTTTATGCCAAACCTAGAATCTATTGTGAATTTATATAAAAAAAATGAGAAAAGATCTATTAAAAAGAACTTCCACACTGATGAAAAAGGATTTTAGGGATAAAGGTTAGAAAAGGGATGGAAAAGCGAAGAAAAGTATAAGAGATGAAACACAGTTCTAAGGTGGGAATTGACAAAAGTAATTCTGAGTTAGTTATAGGCAATTGTTTTTTAAAACTTCTTTAACCATGTAAGTAAAAAGTAGAAGTAAGACTGAGTGATAAGGTTGAGGTAAAATAACCTTGGCAGCATTATGCATATGATTTGTTGCAGTTTGGATGAGGCTGTTGCAGTGGGTAGATTTAATATTGGATGCTTAAACTTATACCATAAAAGTTAATATTTTGTCTCTTAATTGTTTTTTTAAGAGTTGGGAAACCTCAATGTGTTATATCTAATCCAGTGTTCTTGCCACTAATCATTGGGCAGTTCCAGTATCAGAAGACTGTTGAAGAAATCCTCAGAGAGTTACATCTGTTCACAGATGAAGTGGGATAACTTTTCTTTCATATTCTATTTACTATTGTATCTGTTGCTTCTTAACATAAAGTATATTTTTATGCAGATACCTATAACTATAAAAGTTTAAACTACCATATTTCTCAGTCCGGGTATAGAATATGTGTTGTGTGTGTTTTATTTATTTATTTATCTATTTATTTACTTATTTTTAGATCTGTATTGATAAATGTGTTTGATGCATATACCTAGGCAAATTCTGACTTGAGCCAGGGAAGGATTGCAACTTCCTCCCACCTGCCTAGGCACTGCATGCTGGCTTCGTGGGAGGTGCTCTGGCAAGTGCCTGATGTTACAGGGACACGTAGCTACAGCCAAATTCATGCTGGAACCATGCTAGACATCACCTTGAAAAACCTCTTCTTTTGGTGACCCATCACATAGTGCTCTCAGCTGTAGGCAAGAGCCCTTATCATGGACCATATCTTCTATGTGCTGGAAAGCTGGGCTAAACTGAAGCAAGCAAGGAATGTAGAAAAAAACAGAAAACAGATATGCCTTAGTAATGCTTATGTTTAGTTCTTTTACTAAGGCTTAGAATGTTTTAGAAGATACATTTTGTAAATTAAGGATTTAGTCCAAATGAAACTAGAATTACCTTCCTTGGACATCTAAGGAAGTGATTAAAGGTTAGAACTTGTACAAGCTGTAAATATTTCTTTCTAGCTAGAGCAGACTTGAGATCAAAGATCCAACAGCTAGACCTGATGCATGGCTCAGTGTTTGGCTGCATCACATAACTGCAGACTGCTAACAATATAAGGTAGGTCAGATCAACTTAGAGGGGGCATAACAAAATGAGTACATTTGCATACTGGTTATCTGTTAATGCAGTATAGTATTTAAGATTACATAGTAACAGAAGGCTTCTTCCCAAACATACCATTCCTATGGCATTGAACTGATGTCCACTGAGGTTCTCACACACAGGTGGGATTCTTGACGTTTATAAAAATATAATAGCTCAGTCTTTCACGTATTTATTGCATTATTTGGACTTATTTTCCTCTATTACATGGTTAATATTTTTAATAAAGTTCTTTTAAAACCAGATCTTTGGAATACTTTTGTCTCCCTAAAGCTGATTCCTTGAATTCTCATGTTAGAAGGTCAAATGAAGGAGTAGTATAAGTTTCAATTCTACCAAGTAAGTTTTATGGTAAATTAAATTTTATGTAGCATTTAAAATCAACAAGAGCTGACAATTGCATCAGTTGTATTTTATTATGTCTGTGTGTATGCACGAATTACAGGAACCTGAGTGTTTAGAGTTTGTCTAACAATTCAGCAAAGAGAAAGAGCTTTTCAAGTTAATTTGCTGAAAATCTGGGATCAGCCACATTAAAAAATGCAAAAAATGTTTTTCTTCAACAGCTCAGGTTAGAGTTGGTTACATTACATTACATTAGCTTAGATTTAGATGCAGGGTTGACATCCTGTTCCCAAGAGACTGTCTAAAAAAGTATTTGATTATTTTAATACCCTTCAAGGTCTGGAGATAATGCACCTTTTTTTTTTTTTTCTTTTACTGCAGAAGTAAGCCACTAATTATGTGCAAATGACTCCAGCTTCCTCCTATAATGCTTTGCAGCACTAAAGGTAGTTGTTGCTTTGTTGTCATGATCTGAAACACTTGATTGCCTTCCAAAGGTATTTTTGTGCTTGTGTATAAGAAGTGTAAATATTTTTAAGCAAAAATATTTTTTATCAACATCTTCTTATCAGGCTTTTGTAGCTGCTGACCTTGACATTTCGGTAAGTCTATTAGAGATACAATTTTAGTATATACTTAATTATTCTTTTCTAGCCTTTGTATTTCTGGCTTTCATTAGTTTGTTATATAGTTTCTCTTGATAGCTGTCAGTAGTTTTATTTAATCTACTGGTTGGTGTCAGTCACATAAATGGATAGCCAAAGCTTTGAAATTATTTTTTCAGGGTGACTGTAGGGTTTACAGAATGAGAAAAAAATTTAAGATTCTTTTTTAATTCTGCTATAAATATTTTCTCTGTGATGATGCATTTTTTCAGTCACTTCCACTCATTGCTCACTGGTAAACCATACACTGTTCTACATTAATGGCGATGATAGACATCAGTTCAAAACGGAAAAGAAGGAATAGGAGAAATAAAGAAACTTAGTATGAGCAGTGTGTCTTACCATTACTTTTGAAAGTCATAGATGATTTTATAAAAATCTAATTAGTCAAATCGTTTTGCTAGCCCAAAACCCCACAGTGGGGTTTTTTTTAAGGTTAGGGGAAGGTGTCCCAGGAACCTACATATGATTTTTTCAAAGCAGTTTTGTCACTTAGGGCACAAATTTCACACCATACCCTAACACTTTTTTTAAATCATCAGAGAATTGAAAAATCATGCCCTCTGTTTTCTTTCCTGCCTTCTCACCTCTTTCAGAAAGTTTTTCCTGATGTATTTGCTCTTTATCACAGTGGTATTGAAGCATGGTGCTAAGTATGGGTAACAGAACAATATTCCCACTATCTTCCTTGCTTTAAATTTGCTTGTGTTTTCTTCTGTGTGTTGCTTGCATCTTAGCTTTCATAGCTTTTGTTCTTGATAACCCATTTCTTTTTGAGGGTAATGATATTACTGAAATAAAGGCCTTTGCAAATAGGTTTCAAGCATTTAGCTCCAATACAGAAAACTGCATGTAGATGAACCTCTGAAAACTTCAGTGGGGTTATGCTGAAGGTCCATCCCTGGAGCCAACAGGTGGAGTTGGATGTCATGCCAAGAGAGAGGTGGTGTCTGACAAAATGTTTTTGGCTGAAGTTTTGTCTCTGTGGAGACTGAGACAATAAAGCTGTCTTAGATCTTTTCGATTAGAAATTTCTGTAACAGTTGCCTACCTTGCACCGTCAAGGATGGCTGTCCTTCAGACTGCAGATACTCCAGTCTTTCAGAATTTCCTTGATCTAACTTTTAAATTACATGCAGATTTGCTCTTGCAAGTAGTAGACAGCCAGTACAGCTTGCATGAGGAGCTGAGAAGTCACAGTCTAATGTCAAGAAGCAAGAAGGGGAGGCGGCTATACTTGAGTTGGAGTTGGCAGTTTTTCAAGCAAGCACTTACTGTTTCTCAAGGTCTGAAGTTTCTTGGTAATGGAAAATGCTGCATCAATGTAATAATGAATGACGAGCTGAGTTCTGTCAATTAATTATCAGCACTGGACAGAGTAGTGACATTTCACTGTACATACAAAGAAGGAAGATCATTTTGAAACCAGTCTTCTTCCTAGTAAGGGAATATGACCTGTTCAATAGGAATAACTGTTGACAATATTACTGGTCTCTCCTCCTGTGCAAGATCACTTTGATCAGTTAGCATCATTTAATGACTACTGTTGTGGCAAACTGCTGGCAAATCACAAATATCAGGTTAGATTCCTTTCCTAAAGGTGTCAGCAAATCCCTCTTTTCTGTGACTTTTTCTTCTTGATGTTTGCTAAGCCTGTGGTTAGAGTCCTTGAGGAAGAAGCTCCAAACAGACCTTTGATTCAGCAGATGAAATTCATAAATGCTCAAATTAAGTGGGAGGAAATACTGAGTGGAGTTCTGAAAATTTTTGTTTGCCTGCCAAGTTCCTAGAGAGACTCTACAAGAATGTTTACATTTGAAGGAGTCAGTGAACCTGTTTAAATATTTAGGATTAAATAGTCTTAAACTGCTAGTAGAACTTGGCCATTAGAACTAGTATTTGTGTTCCTTAACTCAATCTTATCTATACCATAGAAATATATGTGCCTTACCCAAAGACCTGCCATAGTTGAACCAAAACCAGGGTTAGAACTTTCAGATTCCAAGACCTAAACTCAGACTGCCAGAATATGCTGTCCAGATTCTTAATTGTACATCTGGTCTGAAAATCTGTTTCTATTGATAATGCACATCCTATAAATTATTCAAGTAATTTACAAGGTTGGCAGTATTTTCTGAAGCAAAGTGAATATTTTAAGAATTCTCAGTAAACCTGAAAAGACCCAAATGTTTTTCTAACATTAGTTTTCAGAATGGAACTGTAAGAAAAGCATTTGAAGGTTTAAGCCAGAAACAGAAAGCTCCAACCAGTGTGCTGCTTTTTTTTCTGAAATAAATATCTTTTAAAATTATGTCAGCAAGGTTCTAAATGTATTTTTACTGCAATAAAAAGACATTGGAGTATTTTGTTTAATAAAATGTCTTCCTTTCCAATCACAGTCTGGTTAGTTTAAAAAAAATGAAGAAAAATGTTTTGCCCAAGAATTATTATTTGAGGTAAGAAAACAGAAGAGCAGAGTAACTGAACACTGTACAGTTGAATACAAAACCAAAATTGAGTGAGCTTTGTGTTTATTGTTTTCTCACCCCACAGAAGCAACTAGTTCTGACTTTAGTATTGTGTATAGTTCCATAAAGTATTGTTGCAGCAATATGATATGGTGATTTTAACCACAGTTCTCTCTCTGCAGGGGGACACAAGCACAAATCCTTATGGAGGATGAGCCTCCTCCTTCTCAAGGAATCAGTGTCAAGGTCAGAGTTTGATTTTGTATTGAGAATTTGTACTGCTGTATCCAAAAGAAATAAGCTTTGTTCCATTTGGCAGTAGATTACTACATGCTAGTAGCTGTCAAGATAAGCAGAAAACCAAAGCTACAGGTAAAAAAATTATACTAGAAAAAGAAATGTTGCTTATGTGATCCACATAATATTAGAAGAACAATATGTTTGTTTTAATTGGGTTGAATTGCTCCTTTGGCTTACAAGGCTGATTTAACTTAGTATTAATTTCTAAGTTTAGATGTTGCAGCCCAATGTTTCAATAACATAAACTTGTTAGAATTAACTTTTGTAGAATAATTTGAGGCAAAAAATTCCTGTCATTTTTCTATTTTCTTTGAATGCTTTGCATGTAAAACTTAATGAAACATCATTCAGAAACATCATTAGCAGCTTAATGATAATGCCTTTTAAGGTGATCTGTATGACAAATAAAACTGAATGACCAGTTTTCAAACTGATTGCTGAGGTCAGATGAAGTGAAGAAGTTTCTTGAGGTGTAACTGAGACATCTGTAGGCTAGCTGGGCCAAATGAAATCTCAGATTCTGGTCTCTGTCTTTAATGAGTTTGTGTAAAATAATGAAGGAACTGATCACTTATGGGACATAAATATTGGCAGGCTGATAGTCCAATGTTTGGGGGGTTTTATATATATATATATATATGTATTATTTTTTTTTTTACAAAATATAATGGAGAAGTGTGAGAGAAGAAAATCTTGAAAGGTGAGAGAGTGTCTGTTACTGAGCTGAATGTAACTAATAACTCCAGAGGCTGGATGTAAATTATGGAAATTTTTTAGTCTGATAAAGTTTGTGATTATTTCTTTTGTTTAAAAAAAAAAAAAAAAGGTGTTTCCTTGGTTGCTTTTAATAATGGTACTTTGGTTTTTCTTTCTGTGTAGTATTTTAGTGTTGAGAAATGTTACAGTTTGGGTTTGGGTTTTTTTTTTAACATGTTAATTATGAGAGCAGGACACAAATGCTTTGTAGAAGAAGGTTACAGAGAAAAACTTTCCTGTTCAAGATGTGGGTTCTGACCCACTGTGCACTTGCAATTTAAAGCCCACATTTTAGACCCGATATGTTATTCCACTAAGGGAATCTGTACAACTGAGGGGCACCCTGACTGTCGTTTTGAACCTCAGGTTTCATGAGTCTTGAGCAAAAGTGGAATGTAGTTTTGATGATGCAATTGGAAGAGCAGTCTGTGATGCTTTCAGTATTTATTATCATATTTTAGAAGTGCCTAAAATACTCCATAAACTTAATGCTAACCTATTGATATAAAACAATTGTTCTACAAACAGCACATGAATGAAGCCTGATTCTGTACAGATTCATGTCCTTTGTCTCTCATAACCCTGCTTTGTGTCGTAGAAGACAGCATGTGCTAGGACTAGCTTTGACCTGCTTGCTTCCTGACTTATTTCATAACATACATGTCTGATTGTCTAGCTGTCTACTGCCAAATAGATTGTGTCAGCGGAATCTTACTTCCCTTTCACTTACAAATTTGGCTGAAATTGGTCAGTTACTTGGTGTGTGGATGATGGGGAAAGAACTGGTGTGATCAAAACCGCAACTTTTCTTTAGCGATGACCAAACCTCCTTTCTGTTCCTCAGAATTATATATAAAGAAATGTGTGATTAACTGCTATTTGTGGAAAGATTTTAATTCAGGATTAATTTAAGGGTTAATGTCTGAAGTTTAAAACGTTATCTATGTTTCTGTGTACATTTTTTCGTAGTAAGTGGTACTAATCGAAAAAGCAGTATCCTTACTACTGACATAACATGCTTCAGACTCCAAGCTAGAATTTATTCACATCTTTGTTTCAGAGGTAGAAAAAATTACACTCTGTAAGCAGACCATTTTGTAAGTTTGGTACTTCACAGAATCATAGAATAGTTAGGGTTGGAAAGGACCTTAAGATCATCAAGTTCCAACCCCCCTGCCATGGGCAGGGACACCTCGCCCTAAACCATATTACCCAAGGCCTCGTCCAACCTAGCCTTGAACACTGCCAGGGATGGAGCATTCACAACCTCCCTGGACAACCTATTCCAGTGCCTCACTACCCTAACAGGAAAGAATTTCCTCCTTATATCCAGTCTAAACTTCCCCTGTTTAAGTTTTAACCCATTACCCCTTGTCCTACCTACTTGCTAGAAATAAACTAATGATGCAGTCCTCACTGTTACACAGTGAACTATGTAATGCCTGTGATAGGCAGAACCTATCTTACTTTACTGTCCTGCACTTACCTTCTGATCTGGCAAGTAACGCTGCTATTTTTTGTCACATTCAGAGCCTGTTTTAATTTCAGAAAAGATAATTGGATGCATGCTCCATGAAAATTTTGCTATTAAATTTTGATACTGCAACATTTTTTTCTGATTTATGATATACTAAAACAGTAGAAATGTTGCATGAGATTCAGACATTAGCTTGACTAGTTTTAATAACTGAAGAGACCTGTTATTCTTTTCCTTTAATTAGAAACTTATCATTGGTCCTTGGATAAGCTGGGAAATGTATAATTATCTTTTTTCTTTTATTACATGTCTACTTACATAAAATGCAGATATTCTTAGGAAGTTCCCAATGACTCAATTATTTTTGAAACACAGTTTCAAAAGTAAAGGAGAAAGGAAACATCTTCTAAAGTTTCCATTTTCACTGTGTGAAAAAAGTGTGTATTTTTCAAAAGTAAGTATGTTCTTGGGAAGACTTTATGATAGTTTCTTTTTTTTTAACAGTAATTTTAGCACCTGAGGAAAAAGATGCATGTTAATTTCAAGTTTTTAATGTGTACTTTGCACTCTGTATTAGAATCCTGTACATTGAATTCTATAAGTTATCAGTTATGTGGTATGGATACATTGAAAATATGACCTCGTCATTTAACTTCTTATATGGTACCTTTCTCCATGCATATAGGTCCTTTCTTTCTGGATCACAATGTATTCATTTATTTTAATGGCTTCCCAAGTATAGTTCTAGAATTAAAATACTGGTTTGTGCTTGAGAAAGAGAATGGTATTTCTCACTCTCTTTTGTTTTTTCCTTTTTTTTTTTAAATAAAAACCTTTTTACTGTCCAAACATATGTTTTTATCTCTGTCTAGGTATTTGATGTAATTTTTTATAATATCAGGTCTTGGAAGCAACACTACTGTCAGCCCTGAAGATGCTGGATGTTGGGAAATGGCCTATTTTTTCTCTCTGTTCTCAAGAAGAACTGAAGTTAATTCGTCAAGCCTGTGTATTTGGCAGTGCTGGTAATGAGGTGTTGTATGCAACTGAAAATGATGAGGTAATCATCCAAGAGTATATATGAACATGACATACTTATCATTTATGCATAAAGTTACTCTGAAAGCCAGTACTATGATGGTATAACTGGAAAAAGTTGCATGCTAAAATGTCTGATTGCTAGGAAAACACTTCCAATTCAAATTAGTGGCTTCCTACGACAATCAGACGATAAAGAGAATGTTGGGAGTCAGACATTCTTGAAGGTGCATAGTGACAGGATGAGAGCAGTGGAAAAAAGAATTTACCATGTGAATGGTTAAATTCTGGCAGGGTTGTGAGATCTTTCCTTGGAGACTTGAGTGACTGGACATGGTCTTGAGTCGTCTGATCTAAACCTTTGTTGAGCAAGGAGTTGGACTAGATGTCCTTTGGAGGTCATCCTCCATTCCACCCTAAATTATGATTCTATGATTCTTTTCTAACAGGTTTTTGTGCTTGGCATGAACTGCAGTGGGTGTTTGGGAACAGGTGACATGCAGAGCACTATTGAACCAAGGAGATTGGATTCTCTATGTGGCAAAAAGATAGCCTGTCTGAGTTATGGAAGTGGTCCTCATGTAGTTCTTGCTACAGAAGGTAAAGTATGATCTGAATATATATTTCTGTATTTCAGATAGTCCACTTTAATTAGTCCAGCAGATGGGGAAGGACTGTGCTGGTAACATAAGAGAGAGAAATGGGATAGACATTCCTGGCTGTCAAGTCCAACATATTTACATTGGTGAATATGATGTCAGCTAGCTCTGTTCATAGGTAGTTCTTTTGAGAAGTTTTTCAAGCTCTGCTTTGTTCTTTTTTGCTAATTTTGGAAGTTTTCTTCACTTTGCAGTTTAGTTTGGAACTTCTGATTGCTTTTGAAATGCTTTAGTAGCTACATTATACCCATATGTGCCAATGGTGTCCTTTAGCTAAAATGCATCTTTTCCCTCCTGTGCCTGCTTTTGGATGTGAGACCAGTTATGTTGCCTCTTAACCTTTTGGTTTGTGTTGTCTTGTTGACACTCTATTATCAACATCGTACTAGTGGCCCTTCTGTTCATAATTAAGTACATTATTCTGGAAGAGAAATAACTAATACTGAGTTCCAAGTGATGTTCTGTTACAGCCTGACTGATTATGTTAACATTTGTCTCTTTCTCTGTTAATGAGAAGAAATCTTTTTGAATAGTCTAGATTAGATGACCAAAGCTAGGTAAAGGGAATTATGTTGCACAGGTGTGACTATTATTTATATTCAATTACATTGCAATATTTTTTGCAGTCTTTTTATAGATGTATCTGTATCTTTCTGAGCTTTCTTACTGGCAGATCTCACTGACTCACTCATAGGCCTTACCCAGACGATGAAGTATTGCAAAAGAACACATCCAAAACTGATCTTTGATGATTTTTACTCATAATTCCATCCCACGAATAATTTCCATTCAGCCTCCTTTAACCTACCTTTCAGACAGCCATTACATATTTCACAATCCTTGTGTTAATTAGTATCATTTCCAGTTTACGTTGTATGTTTCTGTGTGGCTGTTTCACCTGTTTACTGGAATTTGTATTCCCATGTCGGTGAAAGGAAGGGAAGGTTTTTTGCTTTTGACAGGAAAAAGTAATTAGATTTAACCTGTTATTGCAAAGAAATACTGGTTTAGTGAGCACATTTTGCCTTTGCAGTAGGGAACCTTCATAGGGATTAAGGAGTTTGGTGATCGTTTGTAGAAATCTGATGGAGTTGTATGTCAAACCTAGCCCCTGCAATAACAGTATAACCTAGGTTTAGAAAATTATGATGATGATTGTGATGGACAAGATGAATGTAAGACAGCTATTTGTCAAGTCCTGCACCACTGTAACTAGAAGACACTCCATTTAAAACAAGTGAAAGAAAGGGAGTACAAAAAAGAGTTAGCTTCATGGATAATGGGGCAATATATGTACAAAAAAGAGAATCAAAAGTGCCTGATAATATCTGTACTCTAGTGATTGTAAGTGGTTGGGAAGTGCAAAAAGTGACTAGGCTTATGTTTGCCTTAAACAGCAGCTTTTTTCTGCTGCTGGTTGGAGACAGAATTTTGCACTAGGTTGACCATCAGTCTAACAGAGTTAGACATTTCATGCATTCTTAATTTTACTAGCACGTTTCTCAAAATACAGAACGTAAATAGTATGTTTAAATAATAAGTAAACACTATTATGTTTATTAATAAGTAATAATAAGTTTTTCTTACAAACATCCTCATGAATATTTTAAAGGAATGAAAGCTTGTTACTTGAATTTTCCAAAGTTGAGAAAGTGCCAGGGCAGATAAGAAATTCTGATTGCTTGTCAGTTACAAAGAAATGGAAATAGGGACTCCTGGCTGTCATTTATCCTTTTCTCTTCTGTATTGCACTATTTCCTTTCTTTTAGCTATGTGATTTCCTTCACTAAGGTTCTGGTGATACTATCCTGTTAGATTTGTGGTGAACACTATGTGAAGGTAGTATTGGTATTTCCCTGGGATTAAGAGCCCCAGAGGGCATATACATACATATGTACACACACAGTTAAATAGGCATATTGTTATTGAATTTGACTTATCAGTTTGTAATTTTATGTTGTGTACTCATTTTAAAACATCTTTTTACATTTTTATTATAGAAGGAGAAGTGTATACATGGGGTCATAACGCTTATAGTCAGTTGGGCAATGGTACAACAAATCATGGTTTCATTCCATGTCAAGTCTCTACTAACTTGGTGAACAAGAAAGTCATTGAAGTTGCCTGTGGCTCTCATCATTCTATGGTGTTAACATCTGATGGAGAGGTGAGAATAGCTGGAATAAATATCTCTTTTTCTCTTAATGGAATTCACGTATGTGAGAAATGAAAATATTCTGCACTTAGAGCATTAGACCTTGCTTCTTGTTACCCTCACAATGCTAATGCATTCCTAATGCAACACAAATGTTTGATAAAAATAGAAAACCTGTTAGGCTCTAGCTGCTTTAAGTATATGCAGAACATTGACTTTTGTGGCACATCTGCTTGTAATAACAAATCATAATGTGTTTGTAGAGGGCAGCTGGTTCCTTTCTATGCTATACTAAACTGTAAATGCTTAGTGGAGTTAAAGCTGACATAAATATAAATCACATTCGTGTAAGGATTGATACCCACAAAAGTAAAAAGTTTTCTGTCATTTACTTTGAGATGCCATTTGTGTCTAGTTAGCGGTTTTACTTTGGATTCTAGAAAAATAGCAGTGAATTCTTCCTGTATTAACTCAGTTGTCATGTTGCCTCTTACGCTTGGTTGGAGGAACAAAATAGAATATATAAATATTACGAGTGGCATATTTTTGATGGAAACAAGTAAATTGTAAACCTATGTATCTTCCTAGGTCTTTAAAAGAATACATCCACATGAACTCAAAATGCATTTTTTTATGCATATAACTTTTCTCTCTTGAATATGTACTTTGAACTGTTACATGGTAATCTTGTATGACAATTTTCTTACAACAGGTATACACATGGGGTTATAATAACTCAGGCCAAGTTGGATCAGGTTCAACAGCTAATCAACCAATTCCTCGAAGAGTTACCAGCTGCCTACAAAACAAAATAGTAGTTAATATAGCTTGTGGACAAATGTGCTCTATGGCTGTGGTGGAAAATGGAGAGGTAAGAAATTTTAAGTGAACTTTCTGACTTAATTTTGTATGATGTAATGTCACGGAATTAGATCATTTCAGTAATGAACTACTCAGAAAAGAAGTGTACCTTTCCAGACTCCTTCAAGTCTACCTCCTTATACTGCTTGTAAAAACCTTTGTCACAAATTGTTCTGCACATTCTGACATACTTCAGCACGCTTTCCCATCCATGCTGATTATGCTTTCTCATTTAGAAAGGAGGTAGAGTGAAACAGGGAAAATTGTTCACTGACATTTAATTTATGGCTTTTTGGTGTATGAGATTACTCATAAAATCTAGCAGCTGTTACTTTGTGTCATCTATCGAAGTTGGCTTTGAGTTGAAGGAATTCAAGTATCAAATTTAAATTTAAAAACAGTATTGTGGAGGTTAGGAGACTTTTATAAATTTTGGGATTAAATCATATTGAATCTGTATGTACATTTAGCATTTCATGATAGCTTCATTTTCTCATATGAAAATAACCAAGTTTACATCACTGATTCACTGATTTTAAGAGCTGGTATATTCTAGCAAAAAATTAAACTGCTGATTAATATGTTATCCCACTGCTGCATTCATAGAAAAATAAATTATTTTCAATACTGGAATCTTGAGTATCAAGAGTGTGAGAATAATCAGTGAATGCTATTTTAATTTTCAGTGCTCATATATGCACAGTTTGTCTTCAAGAAAACAGAGAGAAGAAAAGTTCATTTCATACATTTATTCTACTGCAATACCCCTTGAATTCCTCTTACACATTTTACCCTCATTGCAAAGATACTAAGAGGGTTGTAGTGTTCTTGTTGTTTTACTTTATGCTAACTGAAGATTTTGGGCTGCCTACATCCTCACTCAAAGCATTTCAGTTTATACCTAAATAGCTATTGACTGCAGTAGAACATATGTCACTGAAATTACCAGAGCTCAGTATTTTTGCTTTTTGTTATGTTCATCATAAAGCTAATAACAGCCCACTGAAACTGTTGTGCAAAGCACACAGTTTGTACTCCATTTAGGGTGGTGTATTTTCTTTTAGAGGATTTTTGAATGAGAATTTAGCTCTTGGGAAAAGGGAAGTATTTGTGCTGAATTTGCTCTGTGCTGGGAAACACCCATATGAATCACTTATTTTCTACTCTTCATATTAAAATATTGTAGTCTTACATAATCCGACTCTTAAAGAGCAACATGAATATGGACATTTAGAATTTTAGATGAGCATGCAGATGGTATTTTAAACAGAAACAGCATCCAAAATTTGTGGTGCAGAGTAACATAGACAGTTGAAATCCCTGTCTCTGTTTTTAAGGTCTATGTCTGGGGTTACAATGGTAATGGCCAGCTTGGACTGGGCAGCAGTGGCAACCAGCCAACACCATGCCGAATAGCAGCTTTGCAAGACATTCGCGTACAGCGGGTATGTGTGTGACACTCCTTGTCAAACCCATTGGGAGCAATTGAATACATGCTAAGACATATGCTATGTTTGGAGGAGATAGTCCTTTATCTCTTTGTTTGAAGCACTGTTTATAAGAATAGAAACATGTATCTTAAAATGGAACTCTCTCAGTAGGGGAGAAACTGGGATCTTGTGGAGTTCAGTGGGAATTTTGCCATTATTCTCTGTGAGTTCAGGATTTTACGTACATAGAACTAGGCCATTAGAAATGATTTTTCCTTTCCCTTTTTCATGTAAAAATTAAAAAAAACAAAAATCCTGTTATTTTAGTAAATAAGAAAGTCTTCATAGGCTTTCCCATTCTTAATTAACCCCTTCTTTTTTGAGATGATGTTGCAGTTTAGCATTTTGTCTTTCTGGCAGACTGAATATCATTTTCAGAGTTGTACTCCAACCACAATGACTAACTGGTGTTCGGAGTCTGAACAAACTGTCTCCAACTGCTTTTGGTCAACAGTTGGTATGATTCCTTGGTTAGTCTTGATCTTGGGTGGCTGTTACACTTATTTACAAAACAGGTGAGCACAGGGAGGGGGCAGTTTTATCTGGCTGGCAGGCAGGAGAGGAGCAGATAGGAAGACCTTGCCTATTTTTACAGTGGTAAGCTATTCACTTTGGAGCAGTTGCCCATAGAGCAAGGTCAGTGCAAGACAATCTGCCTTTGTCTGCATTTTTTGCTTCATACTGTTCATATTTGTCATATAACTTTCCTTGTATCTCAATTTCTAGCTATTCTTTTGCTGTACTCTTGGGATCATCTGGCAGGGTTCCTCATACATTTTTCATCAAAGTCACCTCATCTACTTTGCTTCCCTTTTTAATAAACTTATCTGTATCTGTAGTTTTAGTAATTTTTACACTAGTATAGAATCAGTTAATGTATAGCATAGCATGTATCTATCTGTAATGTTACTGTTGCATAAAAATGAGATTTTTCTTTTTATTATTCTCTACAGGTTGCCTGTGGCTATGCACATACATTAGTGCTAACAGATGAAGGTCAGATTTATGCCTGGGGGGCCAATTCATATGGCCAGTTAGGTACTGGGAACAAAAGTAACCAGTCCTACCCTATAACAGTTGCTGTGGATAAAGACAGGTAATACTTACAGTCTTGCAGTCAGGTATCAGTGGGTATGCTCTCAGAAGAGCTACAGAAAATTATGTCATTTTTAATGTATTTTTTTGAAAAAATAACCTATCACGTTTTACAATAGTTCTTCTGCTAAATGTGGATGGAATTTTCACTGAAAGTCTGCCCCATAACCATCCTTGTGAAAGAGAAACTTAATCTTGTGAGACTGAATGTGTTATTTCTGCTTCGGCTCATACTGTACTGTATAGGCCTTAATTGCAGTTTCTCTTCAGTGGTATAGTTTCATTGTTTGAAGTCAGTAATAAAGGCTTTATTGTCTCTGCATAAAAATTGCAGTTTAATATGCTACTTTTGACAAGAAGTGCACACAGAAAAACTGAAGAGTGGACATCTGCAGTTAGTGTCATTTCTGCTATTAAATCTGGCTCATAACCCAAGACGGAGCAAAAGGGAGGAGCTCGCTCTTTGTATTGTTGCCTGAAAATCATGCTTAGATTTGCACAAGTTAAATATTTTCCTGTAAGACCTTGATGGCTAGTACAGCAGTTATTTCTATTGCTGATGTAAAGCCATCCATACCTGTGGCGAGAAATTTGAATCTATTGCTTACTACTGCGGTCTTGATTTTGGCCTCATATTGTGAATAATAAGAAAAGTGAGATGTCCCTCTTGTGTCAGTTATTGTAAGGAAGAAGCAACTCCTCTCCGGTGATGAGACATGTCCGGGTGTTGAGCTTTTCTTTGTGTGTTCTGAACATATTTCTTCATGTGTTTGTGCTTTGCTTACACTGTAACTGATTTTTTTCTAGACACTTCAGCTGCAGTTAAATTGTTACCACATTTCAATACATGTATGTATTGAAAGGTATTGTATGCTGCCTTTCCCTTTTGCTGGCCAGAATATGCATTCCTGGTGTCAGTGAGGATATTACCTCACTAAAGCCTGCAAGATTTGTACATACAGCTTTAAACAAGTTGTTTCCCAGCCCCAGGCAGCTGGGAAAGCAAGTAAACAAGCAGTAGTTCAAACTGCAAACCAGTGGATTGTGTAATCCCCTGTGGGAGTTTTGAAATCCCAAATCAGCATTAGGATTAGTGAGATAGCCTAAGCTAGCTAAAATACACTTAGAAAAAGATTTTAGTGCTGTTTGGTTCTGATTTTAAATTTTCAAAATAAAAGTCCATTAAACTTAAGTAATGAGAATTGTATGAGTGATGACACTTCAGTGTTTTAATTCGATGTTCAAATTTTTGTTTTATAACTGGTACCAATAAGCAAGCAGGAAAACGGTTTTTCATTAATTTTCAGTTATAGCCAAAATGCAAATACCTGTTTGTTTGTTGTTTTTTCCTTTAAAAAAATGCCTCATTTCCTTCTTCATCTTCTCCAAGAAGATGCATCTTTTCTGCAGTTTACTGCAACCATTCACCTCACTGCCCAGCACCACTGACGACATTTAGAGACCTAAAACTCATCATAGCTATGTCTGAGGGAGCCAAGAGGGTCAGTAGGGCATGTGCTGCAGCAGACAGTGCTGCTCTGCTGCAACAATGTCTCCTTACTCCCAAAATGCTTTCTCACTTTCTCAGTGCACACTATTTGAAAAAATATTGATGGCCCTTTTAATTTTGCTATGTACCGTTGGAAAACATTCTTGCAATTGGAAGCTCATGCGTGCTTGCAAATACATTTTGCACTAGAGAAAGACAGGAGGTGGTGGGCTTCTTCACTGCCTTTTGTTCTTATGAGAATGACTTGCTTTTTTAATTTGTTTGCTCGTAAATTCAGAGTTATAGAGATTGCCGCCTGCCACTCTGCTCACACGTCGGCTGCCAAGACCCAGAGCGGCCAAGTGTACATGTGGGGCCAGTGCCGTGGGCAGTCCGTGATCCTTCCCCACCTCACGCACTTTGCCTGCACTGATGATGTGTTTGCTTGCTTTGCTACCCCGGCCGTTATGTGGCGTCTTCTGTCAGTAGGTGAGCTTAAATATTTCTTGTTTCAACATCTTCGAAATACAAACATTAGTGCATAAAGCACTTGCATGTATTTGAAGCTTAAACTTAGTTTCTTGCAGAAATTTATACTGGGAAGCATAATCATAATCATATATTACATATGTGCAAATGGTAATACGGAATTGTAAAAACTGCGAAGGCCTGATGGCAGTGCTAATTGATGTCTGTTTTATTGATGTGTTTTATTTCTGTGGGGAAATACCTTGGGCTTGGGGAGGGTTTTTGGCTGTGCAGCCACTGCATGTTACTGTAGAATGGCCACAGGTGGAGAAGCTGAGCTTGAATTTGGAGACTTGAGGAGCCATACAGAATATTTACGAACCCTTAAGCTTTCTTTGATGCCCTTAAGTATATACTGAGAATTGAGGGAGCCAAATTCCAGTGTTCAGAATTGGCCACAGGCACTTAAGAGTCTTATGACAAGTGATCATGACACGGGCTTCTGAAGAGACAGGTTGCTGGATCTTAGGTATTTGGCCAACATTAAGGTCTGTCTTGCTGGCCTTGGCTAGAAAGATCTAAGTACATAGCATTGTCTAACAGAGACCTCATTCTTCAGCTACAAATGCAGTTCCATATTGGTCGCTAATAAAGTAACTGGCTTAGGTGACCTAATCAAAGATGAGACTCTTGGGGTTGTCTGTAAGTGTCATCTGGGAGCGTACACTAAAAGCTAAAATGCAGCAACTTGTTAATGTGTAATTTGAGCTGTACTGAATCCATTGTGCTTCCTTTCCACTTCTCTACTGCCTATGTAATTGCTATTGTGTTGCTGCATGCTTTTGTCTGACATTTGTAAAACACTCTTTGCTCCCTTGGTGCTTTCTGGATGCCAAGGCAAGGAGGTTCTGTTAACAGTACTCATATTTCAGCTTTGAGAGACTCCAGGATTAAAAGGGGAATACTGTTCTCAGGAAAGTGTTTTGACAGAATGTGCAGTTTAGGGCACAGTCCAGAGACCCCCATTTTCTCTAGGTGAGGCAGTTGTGGTTTCTAGGGTGGCTTGTTAGAACTGTAGGAGACATGCTTAATTACTGGGGAAATTTTTAATATTCCTAATAATCACCTACTACTAATTAGATGTAAATTGTGTTACTCCACTAAAATCCCAGGCAATGGGGTGGTTCATTCCATGTAAATATGTGTTTGTCAGTTAAGTTATACATAGAAGTATCTGTAGTACATTCAGAGTTTTCTTCCATAGGAGATGATTATTTTATGGATGGGACATTATTAATATATGTATCTTCTTATGTACAGTAGCAGGGTTCTGGGGCTCTTCATAGAATCATCTTCCATTTATTCTTGCACAGTTAAAATATTAATTCACGGTAGTGGAATTTCTTCTCCACTTTTCTCTTGACTTTTCTTCTCAGTTTAGTGCAGAGAATATTGAGGAATTTTACAAAGGAGTGTGGAACAAAGTAAAAAGCATAAACTGCCTCTTTTTCATTCCTCATAGTGAAGACAACTGTTTGAGACTGAAAGTGTCTGTTAGGTTTTACAGTGCTCATTTCTGCAAATTCATCTTTTCTTATCTTCTTTTACAAATGATAATTTCAGTCAGACATGCTGGTTTAGGTCAGCTAAAAGAGTCCTGATTAGGATTATATATGTTTATTCCTGTAATTATCACCTTTGTGCTGAAGACTTCCAAGTAACCCATTTATTAATAAGCATGTTGCTCATTAATACTCAGAGATATTCACTCTCTCTAATGCAGTGTGGTTAAGACTATATCCATAGCTATTTCCCAACACATCTTTTCCTGTGAACGGTACACCCAGCCTCCTTTCACTCTTTCACACCTTGGGAGTAATTTTTGACTGTAGCAGCTCTTCATATTTTGGGGGTTTTGACATTGAATTCTTGGTCCCTCTGGAAATAATGTTGCAACATTGTGGCAACATGGTAGCAAAGCACAAGGTAAAATCTTACAGGAGGAAAAGATTGTTTTAGTTTTAAACAAAACTAATTTCAGATGCACTTTCAAACCCACATTCTCATAAATGCCAAATGGTCTGTCCAGCATCCCAGCACTAAAATGTGTATTCAGGTGATCTCAGCAGGGTTCCTTATGGTGACACTGGGTAAAACATGCTGTTGATCAGCCCTTATTGTGTGTCCTTGATTTTTTTTTTGGTTAGCTGACTGTGCTGGTTTTGGATATCCCTTTTTGCATGCTTTAGGAGCTGAGGGTGACTGGTCTCTTCATCCTGTCCCACCTTGGCGAGTTATCAGGACTGATTCACTGTTGTTTGTCTCTGGATCTCCATGTGGTGAGAATCCTCAGGCAGCTGCATCCTAGGATCTTAACATCGGCTGAACTAAGTGCTATGGCTATCTGCCATGCTTACAGCCCTTCTACCTTGGTTGTATTCGGGTGCTTCAACACCCATTCATTCCTTGTTTGTGTCAGTCCTTATGTTTCTAATACAATTCTTAGTGCTGACTACTAAGGAGCTTTCTTGGCTTTGTGCCTTGTCAGTGTGAATTGTCTCTTCATTTCCTTCCTTTGGTTCCCCCTTAGCTGCTGTAACAAATAAAGGCACCTGTTTTCCCTCCAAGAATTTCCTAACTGAATTCCACTATATTCAGTTTACCTCTGCTGGTTGTAGAAGTCGTCATCTGGAGATGTGTATTGGTGGATATATGAATTGCCAGTTAGCTTTGAAGAAGAGCTTCAGCTTTGCATTTGTTGTTAAAATTGTTACTTATTCAAATAGAAGAGGTCTGAAGAAATAAACCACGCTGTACAAAATAAGAACTAACAAAGCATTTCAGAGTATTATTATATCAGAAGGATTTTTTTATTATCATTACATTGGATTCTCCCCAGTCCTTTTACCTGTCAGCGGGTGCACTTTGATGATTACTGCCCAAATTGGGTAAACCTGAACATAAGTGACATCATTTAAATGAAATGAAAAGTAATTGTGCTTAACAAAGGTTAACACTATACAAGTGTTATTTTTTTTTTTTCTAGAGCTTATGGTGAAGGTCTTTCCATTTCCAGTAGAATATTATTCTTTCTTCTTGCTTGGTAGGTTGTAGGACCTAGCATTTGTGTAATTTTTTGTAGGGAACAGCTTATTACTGACCCACAAATAAACCAATACTCTGTATTTATATGGTAAGAAGGCAAAATGTTTTCTGGGTTAAGAATGAGGTTTGGGGGGGTGGCTTATTTTTTAGTACTGTAAAAGAAAATAGTTCTCTGAGGCTACTAAATATGATAGAAACAGTTGGGAAATCAACATTTTTATGCAGACAGCAGATGGCTTTTCAAGGATATCTGGTAACTTTATAATGCAAGTGTCATGCACAGTAGGAAATACCTTTGCCACAAGCAGGAATATGCAGACATTCACATGGAGTGCTTCTAACACCCTAAATCTAGGGAAAACACTTTTTGAATAGACTTGTAACTGCTGGTATTTACCACTGGGGATATTGTACTGGGCAGGTGACCTTTTAGGTATCTTAGAATAACTGTCATTTTTCATTTAGAATAATTTACCCAGTGATGCCTGATAGCATTTGATATCAGATGCAGCATTAAACTTCTGAGACTGTGTTAATTTTCTTTTTCTGATCTTTTATAGATGATTTGGAGGAATTGAACTTTTTTTTTAACAGACATAGTAAGAAGAAAACTATCCTTTATTTGCTTTTCTGAGGGTTCACACTGAACACATAGTCTGCTGGGTTTTATTACTAGCCTTACAGAGGTGTATTTATCAAGAGTGTTAATAGCTGACAGATATCCAGGACATTATCATGAGAGATACTTGTATTACTTACTATTTACTATTAATCCCCCTTTTTATTCTAGAGCCTGATGACCATCTAACAGTAGCCCAGTCACTAAAGAAGGAATTTGATAACCCTGAAACTGCAGACCTGAAGTTTCTAGTGGATGGAAAATACATTCATGTTCATAAAGTTCTTCTCAAAATTAGGTAAGGCACAAACTATACTTAAATACAAAATAAACTGGATAGTATAGTCTACTGTGCTGAGTAACTACTGCTCAAAATTCTTGACTTACTCTTGCAAACTCCCTTTTCCCTCAGTCATGGGATTCACCTGCTGTTCTTTCACTGTTATTCTCTATTCCTCATTTCCTTGCTGCTTTGAATTTCTAAACATGCTGCTTACTACCAGCCTTTTCATCACTTCCCTCTGTCCAACATGTATTCTCTTTCATGCTACCTAAATGTCCTTGACCCCGATTTCTAATAACCTTTTTCTGCTGAGGAAAAGGCTCTCTTCTTTCTGCTGCCTTCCCAGTAGTTTGAATCAGTTTTTCCTCCTTCATATGCTTAGCTTCCTCCACTGGGATGATTTGAGGGTTTTGTGTCTATTCTTGCCTTTCTTTCCTTCAACAGGACCCTTCAGTTGTTTCAGCAACTTCCGTAGGTGCTTTTCAGATTTTCCTTTTTTTTTATCAGACTTCTTATCCTGATTGTTTTATCAGAAAATTTGAATTCTAAGCTGGCACTTTGTTTGTTTTACAGCTTATTTTCCCCCCCTCTCTTTTCTGCTCTCCTCTTACTACTGCACTTACATTTATTACTGCTTTCTTCCCTTTACTGGTATCATTGCTTGTACATTACACTCATGCCTGTAGTCCGCTGTCTTTGATTGCAGTGACATCTGTCAGATACCACTTCATCAGATACCACTTCAAATCTTGTGTATCCCCAAAATGTTTCTGGGGTTCTTTTTCCTGATAATCAGACTATATGTAACTTTCCTTGTTCCTTTTTGTCCACTCTACATTTCTCGCATTATACGGCATTGTGGGAAGAAAATGTGAGTCTAATTGTGAAATGGATTTAAATGTAGGGTATTGGCAAAGTAATATGCAGGCACGTCTACAGAATTAATATTTTCTTTAAGTCTTGTAGTCTCATGTTGCAACTGGATCAGAGGATAATGTATTTAAAATGCTTTTTTGCAGCACTCAGCTTGTTCCAGAGCATTGTAATGAATGTAGTGCTGGGAAAAGTTCCTTTTCATTATCCAGCCATTTCTTTACTACTCATGAAAACTTTTCTCCATCTTGTTCTCTGCCTGCTGTTGAACTAGATCATATTGTTGGTGGTTATTACCTTGTCATGGTGGTGAAATGGCTGGGCAGCACCTAGTTCACTGAGGGGCTGGGCAAGCAACATATCTGCAAAAACAGACACATTTGAGTATTTGGGTGGGATTTGCCTACTCTGCTTTTAACCAGCCAAAATGAGGTGTCTGGTCTGTCTCTGCTGACAGATAGAGGGAGAGCGACACTCCAAAGGATGAGTCACTCCAAGGTGTTTTGCAGGCTTAAGGATAAGTACCAACTGATTTTTATTTATTTACTCATTCATTTTTTGGGAGCACAATAGCACCACCTTCTCTCTGACTTCCTACTTTTGTGTGGTCCCACTGGGACAACAGACCATTCCCAATGTCTGCTCCACAGCTGGATGGATAGCACGGTCACCACTACTTAACCTGAGACTCTGGGAGACAAAGCAGTTGGGTTTGGTCTGCCTCTTCCAACGCCACAATGCGGTAAAAGATGTGGCAGAAGCTAGATAATGAGTTTTTAATTTTTTATGAATTTGACTTGAGGTTTATTTATTTTATTAAAAAAATGTAATACTGAGATAAAGTTCTTTAAAAAAAAAAATTAAGATCAAATATGACGAAGTTAAATTAAGTGATAAAGAATTCCTTTTTATTTGTATTTGAGTAAAGCTGTCTTTCCAATGTAGACTTAGGAAACTAACCTACCTTTTACATCAAAGTTTTAGTAAAAGAAAAGCACATTCTGATGCAGGAGAGTTCAAAAGTAAGTAGTGTAGTACAAAAGAGTCCAGTTAAGTTGTGGCTCTTGTAGGGAAAGCTAGCTGAGGTGGCTGTGTTCATTTACATTGGCAAAGTGTTGCAAACAATGCGAATGTTACAGGAGTTTTCTTAGGGAGTAGTAAGTTCTGTGAACTGTAAGTTGCAGAGTACAGCTGTCAAAGGCAAGGCTTTTTGCTTGTTTCTATCTTGTCTGTCACAAAAGTATTCTGACTTAGAAGAAAACAGTGATGAAAGATCTGGATGAGAATGTCTTAACCTTAAATATTTTTTTAATCCTTAAGTATAATGGTTAAGTCTAAATCCTGTATGGACTCTTGAGACTGGAAAAAATATTATCTAGAATATTAATAATTTCCCTCCTCACTAGGTCATGTTGGAGAAAACAGTTTGAAATGCGAGAATTGTCTAAATTAATTGTAAGCTTTATCTGCTATGAGTCAGGTAATAAAATTCACAGTTAATGTATAACATATTTAAGAAAATTACATCAAAACCACACGGACCATCCTTAAGGATACTGGAAGTAGAAATGGAGCCTACCATAAATATTAATAACAGAAATAAAGGAATATTCTGAATTATGTATTTATAAAGCTTACAAGCCTTATAAAGCTTAAAAAAATTAACATGCTCAAACTAAGAAACCATGTAGCTAGAATTTATGGTTGTGTATTTAGTGTGTTATGACTGATTTGGTTTTTTTACTAACTTCTTGCTGCAGCTCATATTTCAAGCTTAACTCTCACAGCATACAATCTTTGTTCATGTTTTGTAGGTGTGAACATTTTCGTTCCATACTGAATAATGATGATGAAATTATAGAAATGAGTGAATTTTCCTATCCTGTTTACCGAGCCTTCCTGGAATACCTGTATACAGACAACATTAGGCTCCCTCCTGAAGATGCAATAGGTATTTGCCATAAATGGAAATAACCCTAGGTTATGGTTTCTGAAAAGTTCAATTTGTATGTTATAACAGGATGGGGAAAGCAGGGCTTGTTAATTTTAGTTTATTAGCACTTAAATCTTGAGTTTGTCAGATGTCAGGAAGAATGAACGCAGTAGCAGGAAACATGCCCAAGGAGAATGAGTGGTGGGAATGCAATGAGATCAAAAATGCAAAATGTTAAAAAAAAATCATTGTTTCTCATATTAAGAACTTTTTTTTTTTCTCCTTAAAAAGGCACTAAACCCCTAAAACTCTTCAGTTTGAGTAGCTGTGGTGATTTGATCATGAAAGAAAAGGGAGCTGTTCCCTGGAAGTCACTAATTGATACCTACAGTGATATACAGTACAGTGAACAAGGTGACAGAACACTTACAGAGTAATAGAAAGGTCCCTTTTTGATGTCTTTTGAGGATCTTTAAAAATGAACACTTCATTTAGGGGGGGAAAAATAATAGAGTAAGTCTTCAATTAATTCAGCCTGTAACAACAGGGTAACTAATTAATTTGAAAATGAATTAATAAGTTTTGCACCAGGGTAGTTAAAGCTGTATGAATTTTCACAGGACTGCTAGATTTGGCAACACTGTATAGAGAAAACAGATTGAAAAAGCTTTGCCAGCAAACGATCAAACAAGGCATTTGTGAAGAGAATGCCATTGCTCTTCTTTCTGCAGCTGTCAAATATGAAGCTCAGGTAAGGATAACTTCTCTTCAGGCAAACAGTTGTTTTCTGAGAAATGAAACTGTATTAGCATTTCACTGGTGAGGCACAATTACTGCAATTGCCCTTTTTGGCTTCCCAGATTTTTTTTCTCCCATTTTAAGCTATTATAAAAAATGCAGCTACTAGTGTTTTCTTCCTGGCCGTTTGGCCTGCACTTCTGAGTCAGGATTCTTAACGTGCTTCCTGCCTTGTCATCTGGCATGGCATGGCATGCAAATTTCTCACTGCCGTTGACTTCTCCACCTTTGGATTTTGCATTGTCTGTTTGCTTCCTGAGTTCTCTGCCGAATCATTTTGTCTGCAGGCATCTGCTACAGTCATTCTGGTACCACCTTTCACAGGCAGTGGGAGAATTTACTTGTAAAGCCCTTCCCTAATTTACACTTGTGCTTATATTAAAAAAATATATCCACTTTTGCCATGTTGTTTACAATGAATCGTGCTGGCATTCAACACATTACCTATTGTTATTCCTCTTCCTGTATCCTGTCTTCTGGTCTGCCCTTGGCTCTGGAATGTTTCACTAGCACTCAACCTGTTATCAGCAGTACTGCAAGCACTGTTTTTGTAAACAGACAAATACTTTCAAAGTTGTTTTACATTACTCAAGTTCTTAGTGTTGTGCTGATTGTGGAAATAATGGTATGGTGGATTTTATTTAAGAAGTCTGCATATGTATTCTAGGCTTAGTAACTGTTATTATAACTGAGTATTTTAGCTAACAATCCAGATCTTTCTGTTCGACATTTCTCCTGCTTTACAAACAGAAGATTATCTATTAGAAGAGCCAAAATTTGTAGCTGGTAACAATGGTTTTTAAACATACTTAGATTTTTTGCTTTTGCCTGGCTGTGAAATGTAGGGTGAAGTTTTAAAGGAGGAAAGGCTAGAAGCATAATACAATGGCTTGATAAACAGTTCCAGGTACAGGAAGCAAGTAGAAAGAAGGGACTGAAGTAAAAATTGAGTTTAAAACATTGCAGTAGTCAGTGTGTAGGCAGCGTACTAGATGAGATAAATTTGTGTAGGAGTTGCAAACAGGAGTCTGGAAGTCAGAGAGTTTCATAAAGATTAGTAGATAATGATTATCAGCTGCTGGTTACAGGGCAGTTGTAACCAAGGTATCAGGAAGGCATGCACAGCTGAGGCAAAAAGAAACTGTAATTTTAGTGTGCTGTGGGGGTAGAAGCCCAGCATACAAAGAAAGACTGGACAGGAAGGGAAGACACGGTGGTTTGAACCTCCTAACAGCAGTTTTCATTCAAAGTTTACTCTGGAGTTTCTCCTCTTGCAAGCTTTTCTAGTTTTGAATGTCTTCAAAGCAGAAGTACCTTTGGTTGACCTGTATCATGTAAAGGAGTTTAAAAGTAGTTAAAGATACATTTAGGTGTATTGTGAATAGAACTAGGCAGAACAAAGTACTGGAGTTTATAATGGCTGAAGCACAATAAAAGGGATTGGCTAGATGACTAAACGTGTGTTACCCTCCTCTTCCTTCTATGATTCAGTGTTTTATTCTGTACACCTAGTATTGTTTCAAAACATGTAACATTTTAACACGATCATCGAATGATGAATTGGTTCACCTGCCCTGGGTGTAGCATGTGCCAAACTTAGGAGTTTGCCACATGGCAGCAAGGCACAAAAGTGCTTTGTTGCCCTCCTTCCTACAGCCACAGCCCAGGCAGGGCTGTAGTAAAACTGCTTCAGAGAAGTGCAGCAAAGACTTCTTTATCAAAGACATTTGATAGTCTCTGTCTAAGGAATCATGAAGTAAGCTGGGATCTTACAGTGGTACTACATTAATATAGTAAAAACTGGTTTGAGAACCATGTGCAGTGTATCTGCACTTCAGTAAAAAAACTGCCCAAAGAAGGATTATGAAAATGGCCTAATATTTTTGAAGTTTGAAAAGATAGAGTTAATTGTTCATTAAATATGAACACTACAAGTTATTTTAAAGCATATTTTTTATACAGCACTGTAGAAAATTTAATCATCTCTATACAACAGAATTAAAACCCAGTATTTCTTGAAACTGCAGAATTAGTGACGGATTCTATAGTATCTATGGTCCTCTTCATAGATCAGCACCAGAAAAGGCAGCTGGTGTTCTATTCATGTACTGTAAAAGTTCACACATTGACTGTAAAGCAGCTCAGGTGTGGCAGTAGCATTTCAGGTGTCTGCTGAAACTTAAGCCATGTCTTTGATCTTTTACTTTGTTATTTCTTGTAAGTTTTTAATTTCTTCTTTACTTACCTTCCCTTTCTTGCTTTTCCAGTCCTCTTTGAGGAGAGATACAATTTACTTCTGTGCATTGCTGCTACCTTATTTCTTTTTGCAGGATATTTTGTGCTGCTTGGTCACTGTTAAAGCTTTAATTACATCTTGACAGGAGCAATAGACTTGAAACAATCTAAGGAAGAGGTTTTAAAGGGAAATATACAGGTTTTCTGCTAAATGTCTTTGTAGTATTCATCCCTGGCTGTAATGTCTATGTAGTTAAGATAGAATAAAAATTACATGGATTAAGAGACCTCTTTTTGCTGTAACCCTTGAAGAGTTTATAGGTCATGAATCATACTTCCAATTTAGACTTGCCTTGCTGCTTGCATAGGAACTTGCTTGCATAGGAACCAGATAAAGGGGATTGAGCCAGTGCATGGAAAGGAGGACTGCCACTGTTGTGAGGAGTCTTAAGTGGGCAAAATTTACTGTGTGAAATCATGGTTGTATGGCTTTAACAGCTTATATCTGTTCTGTGCTGCGTATCTGAACATCCTGCTGCAGCAAGACGAGGACAAGACAGAATCATTTTTGCCATCTAGGAGTCCCAGTTTCTAGATAGGGGGACACAGCTCCTGGGTTCACCAAGAAAGACATTTGTATCCTGCCATCCTGTTTGTGTTCAGTAAGCATCATCAAATGTTATACCATATTTTCCTTTTATCTTCAGCAAGACTAGGATATCTGCTCTTGTTCACAGGACAGCTACTGTATTCAGTGCAGGGAAGAAAAGAAAGGAACCACTGATGCTCTAGTATGTGGGGAAAGTTGAAGGTTTCACTTATTAACACTTCTAATGAGCTCAGGAAATGTGATGGAGTTCTAGGGTCAATTCAGGTGGTTAATCCTGTTTTCTTGGTTATTGAGGGGGGTTATTGAGTAGTTTGTATGAACAAATTTCCTCCTATCATTTGTGATCCAATCAAATTGATAAGAAAAGGGACTGATAATGTGAACAACCTCTGCTAATTAAATGACAGATCTAAACTGACAAAAAAAAAGTTTGCTCTCAGTCATTCATATTAAAAATTACCTCAATTTGTTCCTAGGACTTGGAAGAATTTTGCTTCAGATTTTGCATAAACCATTTAACTGTCGTTACACAAACTCAAGGCTTTGCTGAAATGGACCACGACCTCCTGAAAAACTTCATTAGCAAAGCAAGCAGAGTGGGAGCATTCCGAAACTGAGGTCTGACTACCACCAAGCTGAGGAGCATACCATTTTCCCTCCTGGAAAGACATCTCCTTTGGATCCATGGTCAGAAGGTGCAAAAGTTTGGAAAGAAAGACTCAGTGTCCACCAGCTTAGGAAATGTGTAAAAGCCCACTAACGTATAGAGTTTGTAAAGGTGGTTACATTATAGATGTGTGCTGAGAGTTCATTGCCAACAGTCAGAATTTAACAACAAAAATGTAATGCAGTAACTGCCCTCTCCCACTTAAGAGTCAAGCAAACTAAGCTGTCATTATCTTGTCTGAGTTGTGTTTTTTCTTTTCTTTAAACAACCTGCATTTGGAAACTGACCTGTTTGCTGCTAAAACTGTCATAGTGTATTTTTATCACCAAACTATGTTAATATGCCACAATGGGCTGCTGCTTGCCTGGTTTATCAGCTGATGAAGATAGATACAAACTTGTTTTTCTGAACATATGATGAAATTGTTTAGGATAAGAGGCTTTCTGATTGGTAGGAGGATGTGTCTCACTTGGTATGTATTTGGAGTGTAAGTACATAAGCCATGAAGAGCTTCAGCTGGACATTACAAGTTTTGAGTTCCTGGCACTTGTGTCCATTGTTACAGACAGAATGAAAACCATCTTCCTTTCCATTACACCAAGCATGTTCCCTGGCACCCCAGTGGGCCAGGAAGCATCCACAGTATTTGGCTGCACATGAATTATTGTCCTCTGTGTTTTGGTACTGAGAAGACCACCTGTGTGCCTGTTACCAAAAGGAAATCCAAACAAAATGTCAAGGAAAGGGAAGTGCCACTTGTGGTTTGTTTTCCTGTTTTACTATCTATCCCCAGCTAAACCACCTTAAGAAAGATGGGGGGGAAAGAGAGTTTTGAAGTGGTAAAATGGGTCTTACAATTAAATCCTAAGAGTGGAACTAACATTATTTTCCATGTGGCACTAATGACACATTGCCCAAATGCATTGGTTCTTCTCCTTTGTTCAGTGCTGGGAGGTACCATACCACTTACCTTACAGGCCTGTTCTAGGTGAGAAGAGCTGCCCTCTGCACTTGCCTCTCTCAGGACTGCTCATCGAGGGGACGAGATGGCTAAGGCAGAGTAGACGCTTAATTTCTAACAGACTAAAGTGAGTTGACACTCCCACCCAGTGTTGCACAGAGGGAGGTCTGCCCCGTTACAGAACATGCTGAGCTCATGAAGCATTTACTTGAATTTTTCTACTAAGTAACTGTGAATTGACCCTCAATAAATCATTTCTCTTATATTTTGACTGATGAAGTGGCCTTAAGAGCCTTTTGAGGCATTTTACAAATGGAGAAGGTAAAAAGCTGGATGACCAGGCTCAGTACACTGATGGTCTTGTGACCTTCCATCAGATCCTTGCTGTGCCACAGAATCATTCAATGACTTTTTCTAACCCTTAAGTGTGGTTTCTAAGAACCTAATTCCCTTAAATGACTGCAGCCTAATTTCCTCATTTCTGAAGTAGAAATATCTGTGATTATGTTGGAGGATCTCTTCTCAAGCAATCCTGTTTCTTGAGGTGGAAAAGGAGAAGTATGTCCTCAGACAAGATGAGTAGTGAGTGGTGCCTCTCTTCATGTCAGCCCCTGCGGGTGTGAGTGGAAGGGCGAGGCACCCGAACAGCAGAATTTACTTAGGAAGGGGAACATAAGCAAATTATTTTGGAAAACACTGTGGTAAAAAATGACTTGTGTTTGAGACTTTTACCTCAGACTTTCATTAGGAATATATTGGATCATCCCCTGCTAACGAGTGTGTCTGCCACCCCCTCAGTGATTAGTACAACTTCCTCCAGCAGCACAAGTCCATACTTCAGCAGCTGTGTCAGTATTTTGTATTCAAAGAGAACTGGTTGAAAACTTTCCAGCAAATAATGCAGTTTCATCAAAACCATAACTTCCCTAGGGATCAGCTTTGTAAGGTGGTGCTGAATAGCACTTTACTCAGGCCCACAGACAGTGGAACAGTACCATAGCAGGGCACAACCTTGCTGTAAACCTTATATGCTATAGCCCAGCATATAACATATAGCATGGGCACAAGGCAATTCTACTTAAGCCAAGGCTGGGCAATTCCAGGTGTTTTGGTTAGGCCAGGGATGGCTGAAATGAAGTAAATCAGCCCCTTTCAGCACTCAAGAACTGCCAGGTTCACCTGCCAGCATTTTCCTAGCTGTAGCAACACCACAGAAAGAAGGTGGATGGCCACAGCCCAGCCTGCAGCTACCAGCTTGTACTGGCATTGCACTGGTATACAGCCAACCTCACCAGAAAACAGAACCAGCTGGGCACCCATTCCCCTTGCCAAGGCCTTGCCATCACTCTGGCCTTCCCAATACATGGGCTACAAAAGGTCTCTCACAAGTTTCTGTTGTTTTACTTAAAGAACCAAACCTGTAACTGTGAAATGGTTGTTTTTAACCTGAGGTCTGATTAAAAACATTCTCTGCCCAGTAGTTTCATAGAGGCACCACTCCATGGAGTGACAGCAGAGGAGAGTAAGGCCACTCTCTCAAACTGGCTCAAGTTCAAAACCAGTAGTTCAACAACTGTACTGCAAACTGCATGCTTTCTTAGCAAGGCATTTTTGGCTTAATATAGCCAATAGTGCCACTGGGGTTTTTTTTCCAATGTATTTCCTTCCTGCTCATAATTTCCAACCTACTTGTACACATTAAAACCTCACTGCAGTTTCAGAGTAATTGACAAAGCCTGTAACTTTGAGAACAAGTATCTCTGGACTGAATGAGGATGATTCTAAAGATGCAGTGGGTCAGTGCTGGCTTTTATTCATGCAGTGTGTATCATCTGGCCTGGGTGTGACAGCATTACATCAACAGGGACATGGATTTATTAATTTTCTGAACTTTCATTGCATGCACTTTCCTTGGCACATAAAGGTCAATGTTTAAAAGAACACCCTGGCTTAGGTGGTTAAATATGGATGTGTGCATGTAAATGTGCTTAGAACCAAATCATGGGTCCTCGTAGGAGAAATTAGGGATGCATTTTACCATTGTGAGATGGTCTGCAACAGACTCATGTTTGTGTATCTTGCAGGTTAAATATGTAATGAGTTGCTTAAATATGCAAGTATTGTTCTGGTTTAGGACACCATAGCCAAAAATTGTACCTGAGGTTTAAAAAGAGGGATGTTCCACTTTGCAGAAAGAGAACCAGGTGGATAAGTTCCTGAGTCAAATGGAATTTGAAAGAAAAAGAAGTTACAGGCAGTGATAGGGTCAGTTAATGGTCCTCTTGAGTGACTGAAGCCAAGAATCAGCACTGCATCACAATCAGTACCCGCCAGTAGAATTCTGTTACAGTGCCCAATAGTTGTGTGAACTGCTGGGTTTACATGATCTAAACAATTGCCATGGGCTTTCCAAAGCATTTCTTTACCCCACAGAGACAGGACTCACTGCCTACCACCTAATGATGCAGAAATAGGTAATTGATTTCTTGTTTCTCTATGAACTTGCCTGGTTTTAATAGACCATTAATAAAAATGCCATAATATTTAAAAAACTAAGAGTGGGAGTCTGACGTGTGTAAAATGAGCTGATCACGGAGTAGTGGGGAGAAAAAGAAACAAACCAGAGATAATATATTTGTGTTCCTCTAGAAATAACTGCCACCGGATAAAGCGTCTGAAGCAGAAAGAAAACTGAGTCTGCAGGAAAAAGCTGGAGTACTTGCATAAGTGTGTTTCTACCTTTCAAAGCCATTAATGGGCTGGTGACTTAGTGAGTAATAAAACTGTCTTCAGAACACCAATACCTGTTTCTGAAGCAAAGGTACATTATGACCAGCTTATCTGTTACACCTTAAAGTATTTCAACTTGTACTTTGCACCAGTATCCCAGAGCCCTTTCACATCTGACACAGTACCTTCCTGCAGCCACTTCAAAACACACAGTTTATACATTGCCTATGCCTGCTCCAGTGCCTGTGAGGAACTTGCTGTTTACGACAGCCTCTCTGGACTAGCGCTGCATGAGCACAAAATTCTTCACTGGCAAGTCAAATGCAGGGAGATAGTTCCTGTGACACGTAAAAACAAACAGCATTTGGAAATGGGGGATGGCAGGAGGAGATCAAGGTGTATAATGGCAATTGAGGAGGCTCAGAGTCAGCTCATCCCACTTGAGGTGGCTACACTGCCAAAGCCAATTCATCTCACACATTTTACATACAGGGCTCAGGTAGAGATCAATCTCCACAAATACATGTTCCTCCACAGCACACAGAGGAAGAGTTTGACCAGCAATGCAATCCTCACCATTGCCTTACTGTTACCTGAATTGCCTGTCACATTTTCTGTGCAGTTCCTCTGCTCTGAATGCTCATGTTCTTTTTTTCCAGGAGTACCATTTCAGTATTCTAGGCCATTGTGAATCCAAGGTCTTGCTATAAGAAAGGCACTCTCCAACACTGTACTATTTCCAAATCTGATGGTTTCAATACACATTTATTTGGAGACATATCTGCTTAAAAATAAGACTCTGAAAATGTGTTTGTAGAAGGGGGGGCAGGGACTGGCCCGTGAGCCTGTGCACTTTGTACTCCACACAGTATCCTGAGTGCTGATGCTATAAGTAGCACTGCAGGCTCAGTAGAGCCATGAGTCACAGGCACCTATGGACTCCAGTAAGGCAACTCGGGGAGCCTGCAGGACTGACGTGCCCGCAGCCACACATCCAGCCCAGAAGGGCAGGGTGGCTTATGCTGGAGTGTTGACATCCTGGCCTATTTCCAGCAGTCTGAGTGAAAGAATGGATTATGAAAAGCAGGGTGGTGAAATGATGGGACACCAGCTTCTCTGAAGGACTGCCTCAGGCACCTCAGCAAGGGTGACCCAGAACACAATGCTGGCCTGTGTCTGTCCAAAGCGTTACCAACAGCAACCCTAGAGCAAAAGGCCTGGTGAGAACAAGATTTCCAGAATATCTTTAGAAACTTTTGAAGGGAACTACAAGCCCAATGGTGCAAGTATCTAGACGTCTGCAACAAGACAGAATCGGTCACTGGAGATGGAGTGACCTCTGCTCGTACCAACTGCAAAATCATGGTGAAGTGTGATGCAGGAGGACAACACAGTATCACACAATCACAGAATGGTTTGGGTTGGGACATTAATGATCACCTAGTTCCAACCCTCCTGCCACGGGCAGGGACACCTTCCACTAGACCAGGTTGCTCAAAGCCCCATCCAACCTGGCCTATGCCAACATGCCCTTGTAAAAAGCCCCTCTCCAGCTTTCTTGTAGGCCCACACCATTACCATACTTCATTACCACATGAAGTCACCTTCTCACCTAAATGAAAGGAAATTGCAAACTATAACTCCTTTAAAAGCTATTTTATTTATCTTGAAAGGAGAGAAACTGATTAGTTGTATAAAATATTCTCTTACATTTGATGATGCAAAGCATCCTGTTTGAACAAAAAAATACGTTGTCACAGTAAAGAAATAATACAGCCAAAGGATCATGGGAGAGCTTCAGCTGCTGTAGCTTATGGTCAGTGTACCACAATGTTAACACATATTCTGTAAAACTGCAAAAAGTGAGAAAATAAACAGAAGGTACTCGTAACACTGTTACATCTTTCAGGAAGGAAGTTGAAGCCATATTGAGACTAAAAAAAGGACTCAGTTCTATTTTTAAAGTTCACTGACAATCAGTGTGCTGCTGGTAGAATTGTTAGTAGCTCTAGGATTAGCTTCCATTCAATAAAAGAACCGACCTTTCCAATGTGCTGCTGTAACTATTCTAGGATCAGCTAAACAATCTCTAAATAAGCTAGCTGGAGAAGATGCTAGTTTAAAATGTGTAATGAATAGCATACGCTTCTACTATAGCTCTTGTAATTTACGTAGCTGCAAAAGCTAAATTTCATAAAAATGGGTAATTCTGAAGCAAAACTTCGTTTATTTATTCATATTTTAATCCACTGGAAGTCAAATGTGTGCTTCCCTTACCTATTTTGCAAACACTTTGTCATTGCAAAAAAAACCTCCAGTATCTGAACCAGTAACTTACAAATATTGCAGATGAAAAAAGGCTTGGGGTTGTTTTGGGGATTTTTTGCTATTTCCAACAAGAACTTTCCTGTTAAACTCTGCCTTTTCAATAAAACAAGGCAGACTGGTTTTCTCAGCATGGGTTCATCGAGTTTGGCTTCTGTGCAGATGCTGCAGCAAGGCTGATGAGAGAGGATACCCTGTGCTTTTAGAGACCAGGCTACTCTTACCTGGAACCCCACTTGGAGACACTCAGCTTTCAGCTACAGGAAGGAGGTTTGGTGCCTGTTTCTCAAGCTTGTTCAGCTTGGTGATGGGTAGGTGAAAATCTGAAGAAATCAAGAAAATTCTACATCATTAGAATTTTGAAGCCTCTTGTACCAGGTGGGAATCTCAATACTTTGAGATTTTCCAAGAGAAGAAAGTGCACATCAAGTACTCTGTGTATGGGAAGAAGCTTCAGCTTCTGGGAGTATTCTCTGTGGGATCCATATTCCATGAAATTCAAACTGATGGACAGCATAACTGCCCTCTGAAATTACACAGATACTAAGTACTGGTTTCAGTAGTACAGCTACGTAATGAGTCCACTCTGCATTCAGGCTGTATGTCTGATGTGAGGCCCCAACTCTGCAAGGTCTCGTGACTGCTGTGCAGTTTAAGTGAATGGGAATCTGATGTGCTCATTATACACAGAGACAGAAATCTTTGCAGTATCTGGCCCCTCATGTTCAAAATTTGCAAGAAATGAGGATATAAAAATGAAATCTAAGAAAAAAAAATAGTGCATTTCAAATCATTCTAGCTAACATCTTGTCTTCAGACAGAGAAATTCAGTCCAAGTGGACTGAACTGGCTTAAATCAGTAATGTTGCAATAGGAAAACTAAGACACCTTCCAAAGTTTGTTTTTAAAACCCTCACAAAAATATATAAATTAAATTCAGAGGCGTACATTGTATATATGCTACATCATAAGGCCAAAAGTATCACGAGAAACATATAAAAAATTAAAAAGTCCAAATGCTTTCCACTAGCACTTAGAAATAAAAAGCAACTAAAAAAGCAACTTAATGAAGGCTGTAAAACAGAAACAATCTAAGAGGGCCTGCAGTGCAGCCCCTGGTCCTGAGAAGAATCTCACTTTTCTTCACTTGCTGAGGTATCATTTCCATCATTCAGTTTCTGCTTTTGCATTCTTGTTCGAGTAGATGCTAAAAAAGCCAAACCAAACAAAAGATTAAATACTTTCTTCAGAAATACTTTGGATGTGCTTATTTACTGCAAAAATCTGTAATGACCTGGAACAGAAGTACACTGTTCTAAGTAAGTCCCTCATTTGAAAATAAACACATGCTTCTGAGTTCTTGCTCAACCTCACACATCTTAAATTCATTCCACCTTTTCACTCAAGTTCTCATTGCTTCCATACCCTCCCTTTGTCTGCTTCCATCCTCCAGGTAGGAGATGGACTGCATCATGTAGGGATCTTGTCCTGTTGCCAGGCAGATGCTCTGGGCCAAGCAGTGCCCACATCCCAGAGCCAGCCTGACCAGGAAATGCCCCTTTTTCCCCCCTCAGTAATGTACATTAACCATCAACTGGACATGAGATAGAACATTCCTTCTTTACCTCTGCCACAAGTGAACACTGAAACATTTCCCCTGTCCTAAAATAAACCAGAGGTGCCTGAATCCATGCACATACCCAGCTTGATGAGCAGACACTTGCTAGGTAAGAATATCTGATGGGTGAATCTGCTCAGCTACAGAGCTCAGATTACACCAGAGAGTAAGAATGCCAGGTCAGACCAAGTGTGTTCCTTCTTGGGAGTGGAAAATACATCTTAGATGATGCAGGGATGGGGCCATTCTGCTTTTCATGAGCTAGATTTGAGTTTCATTTGAAAAACAGGAGTGACGCCATAAAAATCAGACAGAAATGCTGATCCACAGTAAAAGAAAAAGGAATCTTGAGTATTTTAGCATAAAGACTAGAAAAGCAATGTATAAAATTACAATTTCCCTGTCTATATAATTTTCCTTTACTATAATTCCATTTTTGGTGGTCTGGTCAACTAACACTGCTGCAGTCTACTGATTTCTTTCTACCTGCAAGCTCTCAGCTAAGGGTCTATCATTTCATAAAATGGGAAAACCTTGGCAAGAGTTTAATTCCACAGTTCAAAAATTTGAGTGTTCAGGAAGAATGTGTCTTATTCCCATGTGATACAGCATTTTCTATGCTGCTGTGCCATTTAACATCCTCCAGAAGGCTTTTGAGGATTTCCATTTTATAATATGCATTCTCAAGATTAAATGAAACAAGTGCAAATAACTAAACAAATTATTAAAATGACATCAGTGTCTTTATGAAAGCAGTGTCTTTATCTGAGTGGGCACAAACTGATTTATCCAAGGGACTCACTCACTGCTGAGCAGTTAATGAAAAAAAGTCATACTCACTCATTTCTGCCAGCTTCTGTTGGAACTTGGACTCCTGTGGCAGGTGTTTGCTGCAGACAGAAAGCAAATATTAAGTGGAAGTTGAAAAAAAAAACCCCAACTTTTTATCTTCATAAGGTAACTAAATCAAGGTTCGTTCATTTCAGTGCTATTGACTTCTCTTACAAAGATGCAGTCTCTTATTCTTGC